CAGTACAAATGGCTCAGTGCAACTCACTTCCGTGAGACAGCTAATACACTGGCAGTCTTTCAAATCTTGAGGGCCATTGGATAGACCTCTGTAGAACAATTCAGGCTATCTGGACACAGGCAGCAAACAGCAAGGCAGGTCACCAACAGTCAGCGGGATGACAGGGTCTGACAGACCCCAGCTTAATCAATGTATACTCCAGTAGCGTGTTGAAGCAGGTCTTGAAGGAACCTCAAACTACAGTGATACAGTCCACTGGTTAGGTGTCTCAAGAGAAGTGTAGCTTACAAATTGAGACAGAGAACAAACTAAGGCAGCCGAATTCTGGTCTCATCATCAAAAAGCAAGAAACAAAATAGGCGAGGCTCGCCCAGCCATTTATCTCTCTGCTCTTCAATTAATCCCACATGTGTTCATTGGCCATGTTGGCACAGTAAACCTACGTATCACAGGCACCTAGAACCCTTAATGAAATATGCTGAAATGTAGCTACTCGGCAGCGAAGGACTGAGATGTAGAACTAACTAGAAAATCTGGAGGATTTTCTCTGACTAATGTGATCTCCTCTCTGTATGCAAGCCTCTTTAGCTCTTATCTGTAGCCCTTCCCTGCGCCTCAGCCCATTAACAACCAATGGAGGCAGGTCAAGGAGGGTTGAGCATTCCAGCCAAGTCACTGAGTGATATGGATGGACTCTTATCAGCTTAATTCTGCGATGGAAACCGGGGGTAGGAAGGGGATATAAAATAAACACGATTGCTGGGACCCTGCCACACGGAAATGATGTGGATTCATGGGTTCCACTCCAAGAAAAGACGAAGCCATGTGGGTTGAAAAGATATAGCAGAAAGGCTCTAGAGCTCACAGATCACAATATGCTGGGCCCTCCTTGAGGTGCCCCCTATTCAAACAAGTCTTTATCCCAAATGGCTTCCTGGGTTAAATCCAGCTTTGTAATGTGTTCCCAATGTTTCCATCTGGAGAAGGCAAGTCTTGCTAATCATCTCTGACAATGATCACATATCTGGAAGCAAGGATTCATTAAAAAACCATAGAAATCCCTCTAGTTCTGGACACAGGGAGTGAGAAGAAAAGATTTAATAACTGAATTTTCACATCTATGGACACAGCACTTGAAGAGAAAACGATGAGGCTTGATGTCCTAGGGAATTTCATCTGGGATTTATCTCTACCAAGATGGTTGCATGTCTAAGGTCAAGTATGACCCAAAAGTTATACCCAAGCCTTAGGTAATCCTTGTCACCATAGTTTGGTCCAAAGGGGCCCCAAAGTAGATGGAACAATTACTGTCTTTCTGCCTCTAATGAGGCTCTCAGGGAATCTGGGACCAGTGGCCATAGAGACTCTCTGTAAAAGTCTGCTCTGTGATTCCCTAAACATCTTTCCTTCAGCTAAGGGTAAGTCCCTGCACGCTAGCTCCTCATTCAGGAATACTTAGCCTGCAAACATCCATGATACAGAGCTTTCCTTCTGATCAATATCCTATGTTCAGTTCTGCAAAACTGAAGTGAGCCTCTGCTGGAGACGGAGGGGATGACAAGTCTTCACAGGTAAGAGTTGGACCAGTGGAGACATCACCAATAGCTGTTTGCCAAGGTGGGACGCTTTATGGAGGTATTATTCACTCATTCTTTCCTGTGCAGCCAACATTCTGAAATGATTAACTTTTCTCTAAGATCTCAAAATGACCAGTATACGTCCCCTGTATTTATAGGTCCTTGAACTGTGGGCCTTACCAAGTTGACTGAGTTTCTTTCTATCTCTTGATTTTTTTTAAGTGGCAGTGTAGTCAGCAATTTATTTTCCCATTCAATAATCTGTACATCAAGATGTTTAATAACACCCGTTGCACTTCCCACACTGTGTGAGCCCTGTCCTCATTTCCACCTGGGTGCCCCATGTCTTTTTTGTGCAGAGTTTTACCCCTTCTTCTTTTCTCATCTTAGCTTTTGGACAAGTGGGCTAAGTTTTTTTTCCTATTGTTGGGGGGTCATTTCCATTTTAATTTTTCCAGTTGGATTTAGGGATCTTAGTGGCCCCAGCCACATTTATGGACTCAGAATTCTGGAAAGTCTCTGTAAGCATGAATTCAGAAAGAAACAATAGCAACAGCAGCAGCAGCAAAATTATTGTTATTACTTTGGAAGTGGTGTTAGATCAACGACTGATGTAATTCTCTGAACATGTCTGTTAGGAATGTGGACCGCATCCAGATTCAAGATGATGAAATGGAAACTCTGAGAAGGCAAATATTTCCTCAGAGGAGGCATTGTTGATGATATCGATGACTTCAGTTGCCTATATTACACACTTCCTACATGCCTGTGCTTATGACAACAATTGTGCCTGGGTGTTGTCCACTACTTCATACTTAGTATTAAAGTCTCTATTGATCACTTATATTCACTATGTTCTAAAACTATTACTCTAAAATATGTATGGTAAAGGCTGAAAGAATAAAAAGAGTATATAGACAAAAGACCTCTGCTACACTGATCTGGCGGATGAGGAAACAAGAAGGTCCAGTTTCTGGTAGAAAAATGCTAGTGGCTTATCAATTTTCCATGAGATTTCCCCTTATGATCATCATAATCATCCCTTCTCAAGTCTTCTTTTCCAGGTTTGAGAACTGATCCAGTCGTACCTGTATCTGGACTCAGGTCTTCATGCCCATGGTCCAGACAAACCAGTCGAATGTCTCCGTGTTCCTGCTCCTGGGGCTCTCGTGGCAGCCTGAGCAGCAGCAGCTCCTCTTCGTGCTCTTCCTGAGCATGTACCTGGCCACGGTCCTGGGCAACCTACTCATCATCCTGGCCATCAGCACAGACTCCCGCCTGCACACCCCCATGTACTTCTTTCTCAGCAACCTGTCCTTTGTGGATGTCTGCTTCTCCTCCACTGCTGTCCCCAAGATGCTGGTCAATCACGTCCTGGGTAGTCAGACCATCTCTTTCTCTGGGTGTTTCACACAGCTGTATTTTCTTATTGTCTTTGCCTACATGGACAATTTCCTCCTGGCTGTGATGGCCTATGATCGCCATGTTGCCGTGTGCCACCCCTTACACTACACAGGAAAGATGACCCCTCAGCTCTGTGCCCTGCTGGTCACTTTGTCTTGGGTTATTGCCAATCTGCATGCTCTGTTGCACACCTTACTGATGGCTCAACTCTCATTCTGTGCAGACAAAACAATCCCTCACTTCTTCTGTGATGTGGTTCCTCTGCGGAAACTCTCCTGTTCGGACACACACCTCAATGACATGATGATTCTTATCGTAGCAGGGCTGTTAATGATCGCTCCTTTTATTTGCATCCTCGTCTCATACATTCTTATTGCTTGTGCAATTCTGAAGGTCCCATCCACAAAGGGAAAATGGAAAGCCTTCTCCACCTGTGGCTCCCACCTGGCTGTGGTGTCCCTTTTCTATGGCACTATCATTGCTGTGTATTTCAACCCTGCATCTTCCCACTCAGCAACGACTGATACCCCAGCAACTGTGTTGTACACAGTGGTCACCCCCATGCTGAACCCTTTCATCTACAGCCTAAGGAACAAGGATCTGAAAGGGGCTCTCAGAAAAGTGATTGGGAGAAAAAGGTAGGCATTATGAAAGTGGAATCTGATTCCCCAAAAGTTATTTTCCATCAATTGAATATAAGGTAGCAGTTTTGTTAAAACCTGTCTGGGAACAAACAGATTGCTTGGGGTGGGGAGTGGGGGTGGGGTGGAGTCGGGGCACATCTTTTTTAGTAGACCTGGAATCACCTGTAACCCCAGTGCATATGCCAAGTAATGATACTTTTTAAAATTAATCATTTTATTGGGAGGCTCTTAAAAATCCTATGACAATCCATCATTCAATTGTATTAAGCACATTTGTACATATGTTGCCTTTAACATTTCCAAAACATGTTCTTTCTACTTAAACCCTTGGTATCAGCTCCTCTTTTTCCCTTCCCTCCCTCACCCTCCCACCCTTGTGAATCCTTGATCAATTATACATTGTTACTATTATTTCATATCTCATACCTGACACTGATAGTTTAAGGACATTCTCAGATGATTCTAAGGTGCAGTCAAGGTTAAAAATCACTGGTCTACCTCATACTTCCTTATATGTCTTTCTTGATGGTCAACCATAAAGGTTGGTTCTCAAACACACTCAAAATTAGTTTTGAGGCTCAGAGAAAAAAAAACGACAGGTTGAAATCTGAGGACTTGAGTTGATAATACCATTTCTGAGGAGAAGCAGAGATCCTGGTGGGCTCTGTGGTCCAGAGCACCAAGAGGTGAAGAAGCACAGTGTCATGGGAACCCTTCATGACCTTCTGGCTTGGCTGCCTCACTTAGTGGGGCAGGTTTAGTTTGGGCCATGGGGTGATATCATGGAAATGAATTCATATTTTCCATTCTCTTTGCTCAGACCAGCTCCCCTTACTTTCTTCGCAGGTTAGTAGCACTTTCCCTAAATCACACATTTGAAAACCAAGTCAAAGGTCACTTCTTCCTCCAGGAAACCTTCTTGACTCCCTTTGATGGGATCCACAGTTGTATTTTTTCTCGAGATTGATTGCACATTGCATTATGATGATTTCCGGGTGCCTTTGGCCTCTTCACTCTCTCCAGGACTTTCCACAGGTCAAGAGATGTCCAAAATCTATCCCGTCATCTTGGATCTCTAGTGGCGGGCACTGTTCTGGTGTCAAAGGCAAGAACCCCTTTAGGGGGAAAGCAACATGAGAATGCATGGAGGGGTATTGCCTTCACTTTAATTTGTGAAGGGCTTTTAGAGTATAACCATTTGCTGACTCAGAGGTCATATGCACACATAATGAAAGCCTTAAACCCCTAAAGTAACAGGTGGAAATCACCCGTAGCTTTGCCACTTACAATACCCTAACCATAGAGCCCAACCATTCGGAGTTATGAAGAGTTTTAGAAAAGTTGGCTGCAATGTATTCATATCATCTTATGCTCTTTAGTTTTCCACTTCCTTCCGTGTCACTAGCAATTCAATGCCATTTTATCAATCCTGACTCACATTAGGAGGAAGTAGAGTTGCCCCTGTGTTTCCAAGACTAGATTTTTACAGGAGTAGAGAGCCCCAGCTTTCTCCCAGTGGAGTTGCTGGTTAAATTAAACTGCTGCTTTTTCAGTTAGCAGCCCAACCCGTAACTCACTCCACCACAAGGGCTCCTCATGTCAGTAAAGATCTTAGAAATGAGGCTTTAATGGCTGCATGAAATGTCATCACATGAAATATTATAAAACCTAACCATTCTCCAACTCTAAGCAACTTCAAACGTCACTACTGTAAATAATGCTTCCCACATCTCTGAGTGTACATCTTTGTTTGTATGCCTGATGCTTGCTACAGGTAATCTATGTATTCTCCTTCTTTGGTCTGGATTAAAAATGCAGGTCCGTTTTCCTTTATTTCTCCAATCATTTCTACCTTACCCCACCTGAAATGCCCAGAAGCATCTAGTACCTCCCTCTAGGTCAGTGGTTCTCAACCTGTGGGTCATGACCCCCCTTTTTGGGTCAAATGACCCTTTCACAGGGGTCGCCGATTCATAAGACTAACAAAATGACAGTTATGAGTAGCAACGAAAATAATTTTATGGTTGGGGGTCACCACAACATGAACTGTATGAAAGTGTTGGGGCATTAGAGAGGTTGTGAACCACTGCCCTAGGTGCTCAGTAGCCAGCCTGTCCGGCTTTGCCCCACTGGGTGGGGAGAGAGTCACAAAGGTGGGTGTTGTTGTTGTGTGAATTGCTGGCCCTTGGTGTGCCTGTCTTGGTCTTGTTTGTGCTCCCTCAGGTCTGCCTGCTGCAGCATTGATACCCATGGCCCACATTCCTTTGGAGCTCTCTCCGGTCTGCCTCTGGGCCCCAGGTCACAGCTGCCTGAATCACATTCACTTCATCCTCCACCATTAAAGTCTGACTCTAGCTGTGGTGTTTGGACCCCAAGGGACTTCAAGTCACATCTGGGTTTCAGAACACCTTGCCCAGATTTACCTTTTTCGCCTTGGAATTCCCTCTGGCACCTTTTCAATGTCAACTTGAAATCAGTTAGGCATGCCCTCCTGGCCCCTTAATATTTAAATAATATGGATTAAATTGTGTCCACCAACCATGTGCTATAAATTCTAATCCTTTACCTATGAATGTAATTTTATTTGGGAATAGAGTTTTCTCTTTCCGTGATGCCCTAGTATTGTAGGGTGTGTTTTAAATCTATGTAATTTAAGCTCTAGAACAGTGGTTCTCACCTTCCTAATGCCATGACCCTTTAATACAGCTCCTCATGTTGTGGTGACCCCCCAACCATAAAATTATTTTTGTTGCTGCTTCATAACTGGAATTTTGCTGTTATGAATCGGGCGACCCCTGTGAAAGTGTTGTTTGAACCCCAAAGGGGTCGCGACCCACAAGTTGAGAACTGCTGCTCTAGCAAGAGCAGATTAGGCACAGAACAGCAAGCAAAGACACATACATGCACATGTGGATTGCCAAGGACTGAAGCCACACCAGGTGGAGTGGCAGAGAAGACCTGCTGTTTCCCCAGAGAGCACACAGAAAGAAAGCCTTTCCTAGAGACAGGACCTTGAAGCAGACCTTTAGCTTTCGGAACTGTGAGACACTAAACCTCGGTTTGTCGATGTCGGCCCCTGTGCTGTTTCTGGTGTAGCGGCCCTAGGACACTGAGACCACAGCTAGATCTGTAAAATATAATTCAAATCAACGTATATCGAAATTATATCCATCAACTACCTGATAAGACCCTTGCTTCTGAGGGGGCTTCAAGAGTCTGTGAAGAAATTCCATTATCCTCCCCTCCAACATTTCCCCCAAATGGTTTTCTTAATAGTTTTATTGGCATATACTTCACATATCATGCAATTTAATCATATTAAGGGCATTTGAGCAATCATCACCACAATCAGTTTGAGACCATTTTCTCCTCCTCCTCCTCCTCCTTCCTCTTCATGTAAGAAAGAGCTTTATATCACGGAAGTAATTATCTATCGAGAAAACATCCCAGCCTAGTCCAACTCAAGTCCATATGCCTGATACTAGTCCGTAAGTCCCTCTTCAGACTCACACAACCACTTGCAATGATGCAGAATGCAGGAAGATCACAGGCTGGTGGGTGCAAAGTCATGTGGATCCAATGGCAGTGAAAACATCCACCTATTCTTCTTATACTCATTATTGTTACCTCCCTGACAGCTGTGACCCACCCCCATTCACTGTATCCTCCCCTTACTAGCTATAGATCAGCGGTTCTCAACCAGTGGATCGTGACCCCCTTGGGGGTCAAACGACCCGTTCACAGGGTCACCTACGACCATCGGAAAAAAGTATATTTCACAATAATAAATATTTCACAATATATAATTACATATTGTTTTTGTGATTAATCACTATGTTTTAATTATGCTCAATTTGTAACAATGAAAATGTATCCTGCATATCAGATATTTACATTACGATTCATAACAGTAGCAAAATTACAGTTATGAAGTAGCAACAAAAAT